TTATTATTGAGGGTGATTTTTTTTTGTGCTACAGATTTGATTTTCCTTATGGGAACAGGAAAAGAGAAAGCAAAAAAAGAAAGAAAAATAGAAAAAAAGTACCAGCAGTCTGCAAGCAAAGCGGGCTTAATTTTATTCGGGTTTGAAAGGAAAGCAGCGTGGACGCATTGAGGTGCTAATAAGAGTCCAGATGGTTGCTGGTGACAGAAAATGGACAGGAGCAGCTGGGAACGTCATTAAGTAATAATATGGGAACGCCCAGTCCAAACAAAATCAAATGGTTAAAATCTAATCTGTCAGAGGGAGAAGTCGATTGGAGGATAAATTATTAATATATTTTTTTCTCCGCCTTTTTTTTTTTTTTTTTTTTTTGGGGGGTGGGGGTATTGTGGGGGTCCTGTAGAACACGGTGGCTGTTTTGGGGCCCCCTGTCTGTTCCGAGACTGATAAAAATCATTAGCCTATAAAAACAGCTTTTTATGTATTTTTTTAAAAAAATCACTCAGTGTTTAAAAGTCAGTAATAATTAATCAAAACAGAATAGGATACAATTCAATGGTATGTTTGGCCTCAAATATTATTATTATTATTTTCTCTTTAATTAAACATGACCATGAAGGTTAATCATTATTTACAATGTGACTCAGTTATTAACCCTGACTCATGGGGGGGGAATATTTAGCTTATTTTTTCTCAACACTTATTGTGTGTGCTGTAAAATAAATCACTTTACTGAGTTTAAATAGTTTTTTAAACGGCAGCACGAGCTGCTTATCCATGTGTTCCACGTGCTCTTCCTACTCCAGCGGTCAGAAACCTGTAGCGCTGATGCCCCTTGTCCCCCCACGTTTCTCAATATCACAGCGACCTCTATAGGCCAGACAGAAACTAACCAACCTGACGCCGTTTTTAACTTAAAGGCTGAAGGTTTACGTGAAAAAAAAAAAAAAAAGATTTTTTTAGGTGGAACGTTTGATAGAACTGTGAGCAGAGTTATGAACAATTTATTAGGGACAAAATGTAAACATACTTGTAGTAAAATCATTATGAAGTTAAATAATTAATTGTCTCAAAAAAGGTGGCTAAATAAATGCATTACAAAATTGGCGCATAAATGTGGCATTGATTTAAACAAAAAACATTAAAGGTTGATTGGAGCACGTGGCGGAGAAGGTTCATCTCTGAGCAAAATTAATTCTCATTTACTCTCAATTATTTTCTCAATAATGAATCTTTATGTTTGAGCAATAAAAAAGGCATTATCTTCATTTTTTGTTTATTTTCAGGCACAATTTTCACTCACAAATTCACAACCTAAGAGAAGTGTGTTGGATTGGTTAATTGATTTTTAATATTATTGCTTTTTTATTTTTAATTTTTTGGTCACATGTAAAACGTGTAAAACGTTTTAGTCAAGTTCATATTTATTCATGCAAAAGCAGTTCTGACTCTCATCAGTTTCACCAAATATATTGTTTGTTAATAATTGGTAATAGCTGTAACAGAAACGGCAGGTGTGTGCATTTCACACACGGCTCCTCTGACGGGAGCCTTTTAGGGCTAAAATTGAATAACCTCTCGGTGTCCCATTTATTTCCTTTGTACTCAAACAGCGTGAGGTTAGCGCTGAAGTGTTAGCTGTAGGCCATGATGCTGCGTTTCCATAATAAATACAAAATTATTCATTTAGCAGGGAGACAAACAGAGGATTGTCTAATGGCTAATGAACGCAGATGAGGCTGATAATTAGTCTGTCACTTCCAGCCGTTTCCTCCTGGATGCTGTGGACCAAGAGGGGAATAAATACTATCAAATTAAGAAAAAATGAGGTCCAAATGAATATATTACATTTAAATATAAAGGTCTTTAAAATTACACAGGAAAAAAAAACTCTTCACTTGCTTGAAAAAAACATGCACAACTAAGAAAAGCTGTTTTCATCCGTTCTGAAGCTTTCTGCTCTTTAAAAAAATAATTATAATAACAACACAGTGAGCATGTATAATGCGCTCCCAATTACTTAATAAATTAACACAAATAATAAGTTTTTAGTCAGTATATTATATTTGAATATATTTTATTTTCACTATGTAAAAAAGACAAAGTTATTTTAAGCATTTTTACTAACTCCACACATGCCTTTGTTTTTTTTGCCACTTTTTTGGTGTGTGTTTCTAAACACTATTTTTTATACAAAACAAAAACCTTTACCTCTAATGAAACAATTATTTTTATTAACCTCTGAAATCACTTAAAAATAAAATAAATTAATTAATTAAAAAAACAAATAAAAGGCTAAAAGCTATTTTTCCATCTCTGTACTGATCCTATACTCAAGAGTTGCGTGAATTTCAGCTCATGCAAAAACAATAAGTTGTTGACCCTAAAACAATTTAGCATTCTGCCACAGGCCCGGCTCGCCTAAATGCCCTTTGTTTCTGAACAAGGACCATCTCCCTCTGCAACAGCGACATGGCATGCCGGGGCGATCCATTCATTTTAGTGCTGAATTGTTGCATTGTGACACTTTGTGTGTGTGCATGTGTAACAGGAAGAGTGTGTAGCGGAGGGTGTGTGTGTGTGGTGGGGGGGTGGGGTGCATGGGGAGGAAAGTTTATCACTGTCCTGTCTTTTTTGGCAGAAGCGGGCTATTCTTACAAGAGACTCGACCTCTTGTCCAACAACACAAATGTCTGTGCCTCCTTCTTTTCAAATGCTCCCCTCTTTATTTTTTCTACCCCCCCCCCCCCCAACATCCCCGTTGTCTTTTCCCTCAAAGATGCCCACCCATATCTGTGCTCCTCTAATCCATTTATCTAGCTTCAGGAGTGTTGCTCTGGTAATACAAAGGCCATCCCGAGCTAACCGACAGTTCCCCTCCTAAGTCCTAGATAGAGGGGAGGAAACACAACAACGACGAGTAACAACAAGCCACTGGAGCCCAGAAGCAGCAGCAGCCACAGCGGGGCCACCTTCAAACCATGCTACACCATGTAGGCCTTTAGCAGACGAGTTTTGGCCCGCTCCTTGTTTGAGCGACACAATGGCAGTAAAAAAAAGGACGGATGCCTCGGTCACGGACTTTTCACTGCCGCAGCAATAGGCTGCAGTGAGACGACGATTCTTGCCACAGGAAGAGGCTGGACGACTCAGCTGGGAAAGGGAGGGGAGGCTCTCGGTTACAGTCGAACACAAATAGCAGCACGAAACTGTTAGTTACCAGACAAATGGCTGACTGGCTGGCTGACGCACCGCCGGTTAAGCAACAACTCACAACAACTCAGCAACCCATGCAGACCCCCGCTGACACAGAAAAATTTGGCCCGGCTTCTAGATGTAGCAGAAGTAAACACGGACTCCCGCACATGTTTGCCTGGTTCCCTTTCATTTGGCTACTCAAAGCGACATTCGTACGTTTTGATCGGGCAAGAAAGGCAGGAAAGAAAAAAAAACAAAAAATAAATAAAACAAAGTGAGGCAACGAGAGCAAAGTAAAAGTTTTTTTTTCTTTGTTTGTTTTCTGTTTCTCAGTGAAATGTTCTCTCCCGCTCTGAGAGAGGAACACAGAAAAACTCTTTTCGCGCCTTTTTTTTTTTTTGCAATGAGGACAATATGCTTATTTGGATCTTCCTCAGCGCACCCATGCCAAATACTGGGGCACTAATTAGCCGGCCTAATCTAGAAATATTATCCTAGAGTCTGATACATCCTGCTCAAAATGATCTATTTTAGGAGACCCCGGCTGAACAAGGAGCTTCATTATTATCGTCTTGTCTGCTACATGTTTGTTGATCAAAGTTCTTTCCATGTGTCTGTGGTTGTTTGAGGGCCACTGACAGGGCCCAATATACACACAAATGTACTCAATTTGCGCTTCTGTTTTATTAGATTCCACAAACCAATTTAGGCCGGTTAAATATTGAGTTTTCCTGAAAAAAAAAACTTGTGCATGGCGATTCCACCACAACGCTCCTATATTTAGGGAAGAATGCCTCCCTCTCAACGCACACGCTTTTCGTATCTGATACACACACAAACGCACAACCATACACGGTATGCACACACAGAAGCACGAGTACACGTGCATGCATTCCTCGTACAGACTGTTGGAGGATCAGAAATATTTTGCCTTAATTATCCTTCAGTATGGATCATGTTCTTCAGCGGGGACTAGTAATGATGGGGTTATTTATAGTCGTTTATTTCCACTCTGTAATTATACAGTCTTCAAAATCATTTTTTTTTTACATTTGGCATGTGCTTGAAAACGTAAATTAAACAGACAGCACTGTTGTTAAGATCCCTTTGAAGTGAATCCCCCTCTCCAAACACAATTTGATGGAAAGTTGTATTCTTGTCGTTAGTGCCGAATTTACTTCCGAGCTGAACATTGTTTTTTTCTTCTCAGTCTGTTTGATGGGAGATTATTGTGCTGGGCTTATTGTTGCTACATGCTATATATAAAACAAATAACTGTTTTTTTTTTCACTTTTTTAGAACAAAATTATTGTTCTTTTCTTATTCACTTCAAATTCAGAATAAAGAGTTGCCGTAATAATGGAGTTGTTCATCTTTCAGCACAGCGAACCGTCAACACAAGTGTTATAACGGAGCACACGTTCTTCACGACACGTTTGTTTCAGGTTGACACGGCAAGGAAGCCAGGGGCTTCAGCTCCCTCCTTTCCTCGCCGAGCAAATATTTTCATAACG